CCGAATGCCTAATTCGACGATTCCAAAAATATCTCGTCGGAGGAGGAGCAGCAGCAGCAGCCACGACGGCGGCGACAGAACCACCACCATCGTTGAACTGCTCTTCTCCACCAACCTCATTCACCTACTTTTCTTCCCCTGCCGCACCGAAATCGTCGCGTCGCGTCGCGAAATTCTGTCGCCTGTCTTCTTCTTGCTTCGAAAACAAGAAGAGACATCTTTCTCTCTTTCTGAAAAAAAAAAAGAAAACTACGCATTCGTTTTGCATCAACGGACGGTTTCAACCCGATCGCCGGTCTCATCCGATTTTTTGATCGGAAGGAGTTTTAGCGAAAACGCGATAGAAAGGATGACGATGTGCGTCATTCAGAGTGTGCCACAATTTTTGGACGTTTCGCCTATCTATCGAGCGGAAGGGGGATGGAGCGAGAGAGTTGGAAAGAAAAGGATGGGGCGGGTGGCCGGCCAGGCAACCGGGGGTTTCAGGTCGATGCACCCCTTCGCTCGCTTGCCAACGAGGGTTCGACGCCCTGCGCCGTCCCCTGACGTCATTCCAGCGCCCTGACCCCGCTCCCCTTGCGCCTTCTCTTTCGCCGCCACCGACCAAATCCCCAAACTAAATCGCTAGACTAAGTTTTCGTCCTTCGAAAACTGGATCCATCCACCACCTTCCCATTCGCGTTTCCCTCCGATTATTTTTTTCAGGTCGCAGATTCTGCCTCGTGTGACTTTTCCTTTTTTTTCTTTTCTTTTTTTTTTTTTTCTCTAATCAGTTCCTCGTCGTCGTGCCACGTTTCACAAAAATACATTTCGCGTATCATCTTTGCTCGATTTCCACTTTTTGAGCAATCCAGTTCTTTCTTTTCCTTTTTTCGATTTTTTCCGACGAAATATTTTTGAATCAAAAGAGATATTCCTCGATGGAATATACGCGAATAAAATAAATAAAGCAGAAAGCTTCGTTATCGCGACGTTTCGATTGCCATCTCAAATCGATTTACGTTTATTGTTATCGCGTCAATTTCCTCTCGGAGTCATCCTCCTTCACGCCTCTCGATCTCTCGATATTTCCATCGCACGGTTAAAAAAAAATATATATATATATATATATTTCGACGAGAATAGCACGTGTTTACCGAAAATTGCATTTCCGAAGCAACGATCTCGAGGGGCCCCTTCGTCAACGAAAGGAATTATTCGAGGGAACGCGTCGCGATATACGTGTGTGTTATCGGCCGAATTTTCAATCGATGTCGCGAATTAATATTCTCGGTGGCGCAGTCGATAACCTGTCCCTGACGTAACGCCCACGCACGGCGCGGTGGTGGGAATGGACGCGGGGATGGTTGGCCGGGAAGAGGGGGATGGTGATCGCAGCAGCGAGGGCGCCAGGGGGCGGTCAACGAAACTGGGTCACTGGAGCTTCATTCACATTACGCGGCCATTCATGAGATTTGCCAACCGTTCGGCTTTCATGCTCTCCTCTCACGCATTTCTTCGTCTTTTTCGAAAACCTTTTTTTTTTTTTTTTTTTTTTCTCCCCTCTTCCAATCTCGTTCCAACTCGGAGGAGGACCGTTTCCCCGATTCATGCCCATCTTCCTCGTCAACCACCTGCTCGATTTCCCTCCTATTTCCCTTTAAGGTTAAAACGAAATCACTAGACGAATCTGGAGACAGATGAGGATTCTTTCTTCCATCGGTTATCGAGTATCGATCAGCAGCATCCGTTCAAATTTCCACCGTGGAATAGAGTTTTTCCATGTCTATTTTATTTTAGAAAATTGAAACGCTTCCTGTGCTAATTGTTATTCGCGCATGATTACATCGATCAATTTTGGGATAATGAAGATAGGATAATTGTAGAAAAATTCTAGAGAAAGATTAATCTCGTCATATCGTTCGTTGTATCGGGAATGATCGATAAGAAAGGGTACTATATCGGCGTGGAAAGCGTGAATAGGTTGAAGCTCGGCCATCTCTCAATAAACTTTGGGAAAGCGTCTTGGGAAGAGGTCCGGCTGGGTCCGTCCGACCTACTTTCGCCCGGGCAATGACGTTGGGTATGACGTCACGGGAGCGGAAACTGGGTCGCGAGGTCGAAGGCATCTCGTCGTCGGTTTCCCATGGATACTTGCCCCCTTGCTCGATGCCTCGATTCATTGAAAAAAAGGAGTGGGATATAATATCGTTATCCCCATCGAGCGCGGCCATTGTTAGCCACTTTTGCGCTTTTATTCATTATTGCGCCCCGCCATTTCTTCCCTCCTTACCGGTTTCATACCGGTTCGAGATTAAGATTAAATTTTCCATTCCTCTCGATCCTCGATTTTTCGATGGAAAATGAAATTCTCCATCATCGACAAGTGCTGTCTCTTATAGATATATCGATTATATTTTGACACCGATTTTGTCAAGAATACGATCCTGCCTGGATCACGACCTCGTTCGACTTATAGATCTGTATCCGTATCGATGTTCTCTCGTCAAAATTTATCGGTTAACCGCATTGCGGCCGTGTTGCGAATCGAAAGGCGCTCGAAATTTTCTTCCCTGGATCCTTTTTCCTAGTTCTGACCGTTGACGGAACAAAAGTTTCGCGCGGCATTGTTCGAAACTCGATTAATAATCGATTAATTGATTGCGCCAACGCTCGAATTACGACGTTTCCTCTCGTGGATCTAAATCTTAGAGGTATTTTTTTCTAGAAATCAATGCAAAGAATAATACCGATGTCATGTCGAAGCAATATTGGTCTCGTTTTGACATTAAAAAAAAAAAAAAAAAGAAGAAAGAAAAAAAAAAGAAAGAAAGAAAGTGTTGGAAATCCTCTTACCACTCGCCGACACGTAGATAGATATAGGTATCGCGATTCCGCGGTAAATAGAAAAACAGGAAGGAAGAGAGGAGAATGGCAGGATATAGGGAGGAAAAGGGTGAGTTGAGACTGGATGGATTGGATGGAGGGGAGGGAGGGGTGTGGGGAACGGAGAGACGGGGTCGGTGGTTCAGCGGGCGACACTGGTTAGGGGAAGGAAGGAGGAAGAGGCGATAAAAGCGGCGCGGTGGTTGGGGGAGGGGGTAGGTCGGTGATGGCTATTTTTGGAATGTGGGTCACCCATAAACCCCGGCTTGTCCCGTGACGTCACAGGATCGTCGTCGTGGCAACAGGGACGCCGGGTTAATCACCCTTGGTTCAGAGCTACCTTCACCATTCCACCCCCTCCCTCGCGATCCCCACCACCTCTCTCCCCAAGTTTACCTGTACCGCTTCGATTGGATGGAATATGCATCCACGTATTAATTAACTTGTACTTTATGGACGAAGAAATTATTGAGGAATTATTGGAAAAGATAGTTGCGATAGTTTATCTATTCGTTCGTGTATCCGTTCGTTTTTGAATGTATTTTTTTTTCTTTTCTTTTTTATTTATTTTAAAATTGTCTTATTGAAGCTTGGATTGTTGTTGAATTAAATGCGCAGCTATTTTTGCTAGAAGAAGATACATCCTTCTTTTTTGAATGGAAGGATTGATGTTTGTAGTTGTATCGTAAGAGAAGAAATAATACACGTATTAATATATAAAATGTTCATGTATTCCGTATTGATTACATACTTAAAAAAAATTGTAAACTAATGCTAAGATTGTTAAGATTAATTGCGATCGAGAGGAAATTCTTAAAATTTTGAACAAGTAACTTAATATCCCTAATGTAATCTTTCTAATTAAAGATCAATTTTCAGAGAGTATACATTCAGATGGAAATTTACTATAGTAAAAATATGTAGCAAGAATAACTTATTAAATTTTGAATATATCGGTTAATATAAATAAGCTTTAATATCAATGTAGAATATTTTAGTTTAAATAATTACATTCAAATATTGATACTATAATTTTAATAACAAAAAAAAATCTTCTCTCTTCTTTAAGGTCGGTATTTCAACCCATTTTCCATAAGATGTTAAAACCTTGCTGTACTTGTTCTACTCCTGTTGCAGAGTTCTACGTTATCAACGTTGCTCTCTCGTCCGACTAAGCGTCGATACGTACTACCTGTCTGTAGAAACAGGACCATTCTACTTAACCCACCGTTTCCTACTTTAGCCGTATAGTTCTGAACATCAATGAAAACCTTATAAATAGCTTCGATGGTATATTCAGAAAATGTACAATATCTGGTTTTTCCAAACATTTTATATAATATATCTTCGTTCGAATATTCTTTTAATTTTACTTAAATTTGAAAACTCGTAAAATTGACGGATATTTCCGTTTAAATTTCAAGCAATGCAATTCAACGCTTCGAAATAGAATTTTGAGGGTACAAAGTTTAGAAATAGCCTCTCTGGAAGTACTTAAATCATCTTTACGGGTATCACGAGACCTATTAAAAGTCAGGGAAGATGTAATATCAGGTAGAATCATAAACGACGATGTTTCCGTTGCCGCGTTTAGTGCCAAACAGCTGGCACACCCAAAATCCAGAACGGCCCGTTAATAATATCTTCGCCGTGTTTTCGAGATACGATCGTACATTGTTGCTCCACCTTAAATTAAATTTTTCACTTTCGATCAATTAATCCTTCTTATCCTTCGAAAAGCAACAAAGCAACGCTCCAGCATTTCTTCGTTCTCGTAAATCTCGTAAACGCTTTTCGAAAATTCGAGAATATTATCGTTTAAACGCAACGTGTCTTGATGCATCGTTTCTTAAGTAATAAGAACGTTGTTTATTTAATTGGCGACGATTCGTCTGCTCTGATCGATCTTTGTCGGAAGCGCGAAAGGGAAAGGAGGAAAACCCGTCTTCTTCTTCTTCTTCTTCTTCTTCTTCCCGACACGCATAACATACTTAATCAAGAATGTGGAGGAAGAAAAGCGCGAGGTTCGGTTCGCGGGTTGCCGAGCGAAGCGGGCCCGGCTCCGTTTTCAGTTTCCGATTATTTTTGGCAGCAAGCGGAGCGGGCATAGCTCTCGCCTAAAAATGCTTGCGACCAATGGCGAGCCGTCATTGGTCGGCCACTACCACGTGAACAGGCCACGATGGAGGTTCACGACGTCGGCTAGGGATCCACGATCGCACAGTCAGCTGCTTAAGGTCCGGTTGGCCAGTCGCAGCCAGCGAATAGTTCTTCTCAAGGTAAGCCCACAATCCTCGAGCGGGAAAAAAACTCTGGAGGACGCGTCCGCATAATCCTCCGCGATCGATCGATCCTCTTCAGGATTTCTCTGCCTGGGCGCCGACCCTAAGGATCTCTCCTCTCTTCGAAAGAACGAGAACCACCTCTTTTTCTCCGCCGTAGTCCTCGAGTGTCAGTGTGAGAGGTGTTCGACCACGAGACGAGACGCTTTTCAAGGTCACGAGTGTGCCTCCAAAAACTGTGACGTTTTTCTTCTTCTTCTTCTTCTTCTTCTTTTTCACTCGCGTGTGAATCGCGATCTCTTTCTCTCTTTTCTTCTCGCGAGGAGAGGCGAACTCTCTTCTCCTCTCCTCTCGATCCACGTAATTTCGAACATTTTCACCGATAATGTGCGAATTTCACCGTAATCTTCCGCTTCCATTTCTCGAAACTCGCGTTTCAATCTTTCCTCTCTCCCCTTTTATTCGAGAGAGAGGGACGAAGATCGCTCATCGTGAACGCAAACCGATCTACGTAAACAGCCTTGCACTAGTATTCCGCCGCGATTACTCGATATCTTCTTGACCGATATAACGCTCTCTATAATTTGCTCTCGCAATTTATCATTCCGACAAACAGAGTCGAATCTTTCGAGTTTTATATACCATACGTCGCTCGCCGCGCGTTTCTTTTCTTCGATTCTCAAGAATCGCGAAAAAAAAACAGCGATGATGATTGTTTCGTGCTTCGACCGGTGCTCCATTTTTTTTCTCCGAGGGGAGAGAAGAAAATGGAAAGAAATACGTATTATTATTATTATTACTATTATTATTACTATTATTATTATTATTATTATTATTCTCTAGAGAGAGGATCTCGCACGAGCTATATATACATTTTTTTTTCCGCGTGTTTTCTATTTTTACGGATCCTCTTTGACATCGGAGACGAGGCACACTCGATCGCGGCAACTCTGGGACGTGTCTTGGAATGGCTCGAACGAAAGGGGGGAATCTATACTTAGCGAGAGCGATCGTCCATTACAAATTTAAAGCGGTTTGCCGGTGATCGAATGAAATTTCCGTGGACAGGAGATCTCGAGGCGAATTCTCGTTTTTTTTATTTCGACGGATTTTGGCTGTTGATCAAGGAATAATTTGAATTATCGAAGGTCGCGATTTCGTTAAAATTATTAGTAAAATTTATCGCGAGCTAATGAAAGGATAAATTCTCGTTTGATTAAGACGACGTTTCTCTTTTTTTTCCCCTCTTCCCTTCGGAAATGGAAATTTTGAGTATATTAAAATCGAACAGATCGAATTATTAGAAAATTGGTGAATTCATTTCGTTATATCTATTTTCAAACTGATTTATCTCTGATTTATTTTCGTCGTTGTTTGCCAAGAAAGTGAATTACTTTCCCATTAATCACCGACGACTTCCTTCATTACTTTTTTTACTCGTTACTTTTTATCACTCAAATTAGGAAAATAGGCAATTTATTCTTCCTTGATATTTAAATATCAATCTCAATCTCGCGTCGTGTAAACTTCTCTTCTCTATTTCCAAGAAGAAGAAGAAGAAGAAGAAGAAAATACATCGCAACGATTTCCATATCGTGGAAATAACGTATTTCCACGTTATCGAAATCCTTCCTTCCCTCGACTTTCCTTTCGATCTGTTTTTCGCCATCGAATCGAGCAGCGTCGAAGAATACGAGAAAGAGAGAGAGAGAGAGAGAGAGAGAGAGATCTAGCGGGTCGTTGCATCCAAATTTGGATCGTCGACGTAGCGACGTTTCGGCGACGGATCGAAAAGTGGGGACGGGCCGCGTCTATTTTCGAGCACCGGATATTCTATACCTTTGCTCTCTCTCTCTTTCCTTCGAGGAAAGAGAGAGAGAGAGAGCGAAGAGAACGTAAAATTTACGTTCAGAAGGTAGGATTTATCGCGTCGATTTACAGATTCGACAACGAAAAAGAAAAAAAAAAAATTCCCTTCAACGTAAATCGAAAATCAACCTCCCCCCACTCTCCCTCCCCCTCGAGCCTCTCATCCTCCTTTTTCCCCCGCGGTTTATATTTAACGCGTGCAATGTTTGCGTTTGTTCGCCCCGTATGCATAATCCGTGTCACCGTGAAACGATCGTATTTTAATACGATCGCGTATCCTCTGACGCAATGCGAACGAATATTAGTTATTTTGCCACGGATACGTGAAACATCCCCCTCTGCGCTTTATTTTTAGGTAGACGGGTGTAGCAGCCAGGTACCACGATGGCGGACGACGAGGTTAGGTGGGTATTCATAGGAAAAATTTTCCCTCCGCGGGAAATCGTTTCCTCTACGCAGGATGCTGCGTAGAGATGGTTTTTTCTTTTCTTTTTTTTTTTTTTTTTTTCTTCTCATCGGGAAAAACGTGCAAATTAATCTTGACCGATTATTTTTCTCCTCATTTTCACGCGCCTCTCATCATCACGGTCGTCCTCGTCGATCTCCATGGCTTTCCACGAAAAATGGATTCGATGGACCCTCCTTGTTTTTTTTTCACCTCGGATCACCTGCAGTAAACAGTTAACGTCGTTGAAAGGTACGCATCGCTCGTGCGCTTTTTGCTTGTGAAATTGCCGTGAAATGAATCGTCGTCGTTTTCGTCGTTGACCGTTTCGTTTAAATGATGATTAATTGGTAAACGATATTGATATTAATCTAATTTTTTTGAAACAAACGTTCAGTCTGAACGTGAACGTGTCGACGAGTGACTTTTTTTCACCTTGGAATTTTTTTTTTTTTAACATAATATTTTATAATCCTGTATTTTGTCACGTAGATTTTAGTGGACGTGTTCTTTTTTGTATGACGATTAACAAAAGGCTCTCTCTCTCGATAACGAGTCAGCCTTTGGATTGGACTTCAAACCGACCGAGTCCTATATATTTTTCTTTTCAAACCAAACTTAATATAAACTGTGCATTGATACATTCTTCAATTGCGTCCTACGGATATACGACACGAGGAGAATTTTATTCCTCGCAATTCTTCCATCCCTTTTCGCGAAAAATTTTGCGAAACGTTCCATTTTAACCGCCGATTTCTTTTTTCTTTTTTCTTTTCTTCCCCCATTCCGCTCTTATCCGCTCTCCTTCCTTCGCGAGAGACCGAATTTTTCCTCGATCGATTTAACGATTTAACGATTTTTCGAGGATGGAAAGAATCGAATCTTCTCTCGGACAATTTTATTCCCCGCGAAAAATGGAGAAGAGAAATTATTCGAAACTCGATGGATAATAAAGCAAGAGTTATTCCAAAAAATTTGCAAAAGTACGCGCCCCTTGAACGCAGTCTCATCCAACCTCGAGGAATAAAAGATAAATACGGAAATATTACGGGAGACCTCGGCCCCGAGAGACTTTTCCCTCTCTGATTTATCGCCCCAGTTCTCGCTCCTATTTCAACATTATTTACCACCGCGAGTCGCGCCACCCCCGCTATACACCTTATTTGTTCCACCATCTTCTCCCTTCCCTTCTATTTCACGCTTCCCCCGTAACTTTTCCTCCCCTGTAAGCAACACATCTTCCCGACCGGTGGTGATTGTAAGAATTCACCATACTCGCGTAACTCGTATTTCTCAACTTTTCCTCCATC